CTCTGATCAAACCGCAGCAAGTACACTAACTTGCACAGCAAATGTAACCAAAACTAATTATAATATCGATCAGGTAATCTTTAACTTTGTCAGGGCGATGAAAACCAAAGTTTTGACGTTTACATCGGTTAGATGTCTTAGAAAAAAAGGGTCGTAGACTTAAATATCAATTCGGTTAACTTAACAACAAATCATTGAAATCTTGTTTTATCTACTTCCTTGATGTTATGAACCTGTCTAAGGTTAGAAAACGTTTGCAGCGTTTATGAGCATTCATAAGGCGAGATATATAAACAACTTTCAACAGGCATTGTAGATTTGCATACAAATCTCAAACACCTCTATTCAAGGTTCTGCCGCGCCGAGGAAGTGTCCTTACATCTCTTGTGCCATTCCATTTACACATTAATTTTCTTAGTACATTTTTCTAAATATGTTATTCGTAATGTAAAGGCCTCCATAGATACGATTCAGCACCCATAACACCTATAGGATTTGCTTGCACGTAACAGACACGTGTAAAATCCTTGGCGTCTACTACTGGCACCTACCTTATTCCCTACTAGTATTATCGTGTTATAATTATTCCAAAGTCACGGAAGAAATAAAACCTTCAAACTACTAATGTTTACTTGAATAATGCTCCAGTTTGAATGACGTAGTCGTGCTGCTGCGTAATACGACCGCAGAGCAGGAAAAAAAACGTAAACAACAAAAGTGCGGCGAACGTAAGCGCGTGGTCTGCGCGGGGGAATCCAAATGGCCTTTTTTTAACACCAGCCTCTCGCGAGAAACACCTTTGTTTTGAAATCAATCGAGTTATTTCCAATAGACTAACGATTCTTTATTGTTATAGTCGTTATTAATCAATTACACTTCGTATACGTAATTTTTTCCCCCCAGAAAAGCCTTTATAATTAATTAGAGTATAATTCATCGAGGATAATTTTATTTTTTCGTTTTGTTTTTATGTTAAAACATGTGTACGTTTATACGGCAAAGTAAATATATTTTGTCGTCAAATTATTAAATCAATTGTGGAGTACATTGAAGCCAAGTTCAAAATCCAAAACAATTACACTATTGTCGTTGGACAATTACAAAAAAAAATTACATATAATAAGACGCTTCCAAGTTAAATTCAGTAGAGGTGATTTCTTACGTCTTGGGTACGCGACTCGTGTTTTAGAAAGTTGCATCCGGCTCGAGGGACCTGTGCTTCCGCGACCACAACATTAATGTTAAGATCATTGCTCCCATAAATTATATCTATTTGACCATAGTTCAAAAAGCTATGTAAATTATAATACTTATTGATACATTATATACGCAAAATCTCGTTATATTTTTTTAAAGATGTTTTAAATATTTAGATGATATCATTTGCAATATTAACCCTGACTAATAAAGTGTAGTAATCTAAGTGCATAATCGTGATCACTGACATCGAAGAATTTGTCATGTACGTCGCTCTATTGAGCAGGAAGTCGTGCTGCAATGTCTGCTCATATAAAATTGTGCCAGTAATATTAATCCTGCTAATAAAATATTGGTGTTTTAAACTACATATGTCTTAGTGCAATCGCTTTCTACAAGGTAAAGTCATCATCACAAAACCTTTTAGAAACCTCATTTATACTGCTAAAATATAAAAGATGTTGATTAGTTTCATTCAAATGGGCAAACTAATGGAATGATTTTAACAGCCGTACTATCCATACTTATCTTATAATTCTATAAATTTTAAACATATGAAGGTGCTTTATTAGTTTACAATTATTTTATAACAACTATGCATAAGTTAATAATATAATCCGTCAATGTCAATCAAGTTGAGATTTAAAGTTAAATAAATGATATTCAGTAATAATTTTCTCTCTATATGCTAATCGTATTAAGACATCCTTAACTGCAGCCCCTCATTTCAATTCCATTTTTTTCCTATTCAATATGTCGTCTTAGTATTTCTATAGTCTATCTAACCATATTAGTTACATTTACGTGCATTGTTTTCCTTAAAAGATGAGTAGGCAACCTTCTGTTTGTATGTTGTGTGATACGAAATCTGTTTACTTGTCTAGCTACCCCAGCGACGAAAGACGAAAGCTCAAATTATCTACTAACAAACTCAGTTTTATGTAATTTACGTAGTTACATAAAGGATACATTGTATACTCTTTTATAAGCAATATGTGTCCGCGTAGAATGGTGACCGAATTTACCGCGCGCTTGCCGGAGACGCGAGAGTACGGGGCGACACATAATCCGTAATCAGAATTTCGATCTCGGATTCTCGGCCAAGTTGAGTGAACGCCGGTCTCGACACGGATGTTGCAATGACTAAGAATTAATTTTAGTTTTGCTGCTTGAGTAAAATCGATAACTGGTTTTAGCGCTAGAAACTCGACGGAGCGATATAGGTCCATTGAATGTTTCGCGGCGTGTGGGTGAGACTTTTGCGGATTTTGATTGTTGGAATGAATAACGAGCGGTACGTTAGCGATCGAGAGTTGTGAACACGGCAAAGGTCAATGATCATCAGGTAGATCCGCTTCGACGCCCTCGTGACCCTGTCCTACGCGAGCGAAGCGCCGCACAACCGCATATATCATACATATTATATTTACATTTATTGATACTGCTTTATCCCGCGGTTCCAAAAAGTTATTTTCGGTAACCGATATTTTAATCAAATTATCGCAAACAAAAGACACTGCAATTTAAGTACAAAGGAAAAACCTATTTTATTAGAAATATTTTGTAAGTAACACAGTCCCACATTCAATTTGCATTTAAATTATTGTTAACCATAATTCCAAGTTTACCAAAACATTTTCTAACTTTTAGATTTAGCTTTTATAAATTATATCGAATAAGGTAATATTCAAACTAGATGATTACACTAAAATGTCACGAGGATGCTATTTGATTAACATCAACACGTCCAAAAGCTATGCAACTAATCTCATAAATTAAACTTTGACATTTTCAAATAATATCATTCAATATCACGAACAGATATTTCCTTCTCCGGGTCCAATATGTCATCTACAATCTGACAGGTTATGCAATTAATAAAATGAATTATTGCCTGGAAGTGATCATCGTGCATATGAAGAAATAATCGTTTCTATAAGAAATTGAGGTTACATTTTGTCTGAGCAAATGTCTCATTTGTACAAACAGTACAAATGGACTAGATTCGAATTAGATTGTTACGTGAATTGACGAACACGATTTAACTCCTTCGTTACACTATTTACAACCGGCTTTGTAGTTGTGATTAAAATAACAGATTTATTGCAACTACTGACGGTGTAATCTGACTAACGTTTAAATGCGAATGCATGGATGGATGTTTGTTAAAAGGTATCTTCAGAACAGCTAAACAGATCCGTAATTGAGCATAGATGTAGAACATAGTGTGGAAGAATACATAGGCTACTAAGTTCACGGGTATCAGAAAGTATTGACAATATATACAAAACTAACTTTGATATCATATGTAAAAAGGGTGATTGTTCCAGCCGTTACTATTAAGTGTGCTACTGCACACTTAATAGTAACGACTTATCTCTATCTTTTTAGACACGGATATCAACAGTGTTTGAATCAATGTCGCGATTGAATGAATTCAACCTTTATTTTGGTCTATTCTAATGCAGGAGAGAAAGACGACTAGGCATTTTAGTAGCGGGATTCCACTCGCTTGCTTTTACTGTTAGTGGAATAAAATCCTACATAATATGTAGATATCTGCTCAAATTATAGCCGTGGAATCTAGTTTATGTATGGTTGAGCTCACAAGTTTATCGATGTTATTTGTTTTGGCATTGTGTTTGCCAGTTCTTTGTATATGTATGGTTTAAAATTTTATTTGCATCCTTTCGAATTAAAAAAGGCATAAATGGTTAACTTGAAATGCAACTTAATTTATGTTAGTTTTTCTTCCATCACTTGTAATAATGGAATTGAAACTATTATCTCCAAGCGACTACACAACTACAATCGAAACTTAAATCCTTGGCTTCAGTATTTTATTACGATATCTAACTACGGTTCAAAGAATAGTTATTCTTTAGATAAATAATACATCCTTTGAACATTCAAATTCATTTGAATCGATTAATATTGAGATAGTATCTCTTGAATCACTAAAACAACACTTCATTATCGTCGACCATAACAGCTTTTTTTTTAGGTAATTCTTACTTTTATATATTACAATCATTTGTTTTTATTGAGTGGTCTTAAAAAAAACAAAACAGTCTTAGACGTAGAAGCGTGGGACTCAAGGTTATATATCAACGAGAGTTTCTAATTGTTTTATGTAATTAGTTTATCCGGGTTTCTAATGTATTGGTTCACTTAGGTTGATACACAGATACAAAATCTTATTTATCGTTTTAGAACTAAAATTTAAGAAATAATAGGAGTGATAAAAAAATCCTGTCTATAAAAAGTGGAAGTACCACAATATTATATTAAGAGGCCTTGTGATTATATCGTCGCATCATTCGTTTGAAAGAATTTATCTTAGAGGTTTTTTTCTTAATTCAAGGTTGCCTAGCATAGTTGCATAGTTTAGACTTCTTACGAAATTATGCCGAATTAATTATGTTAAACACGTACATTTGACTATAGTATCGTTTCTTTTTTTTATTTTTAATGTCTATTATAAATTAAGCTTCAAATTATAAAATGATGAACCTAAACTGAGGAGGAAGAGATCCAATCGTGTACGAATTAACCAACAAAAAGGTGTGTCAAGGGCATACGAAACGATGTATCCTGTCTACTACTTTAATACCACTATGATTATCATTTTTAAACATAAAAACTGCTAAAGTTTAGACTTTTAGAGACATAGAAAATAAACGTTAACTCATTTGCTTCTTTCGGTTATAAATGGCTAGCGATTGGATTAGACGTAATATAAATAGTTCTCTTTAAAAAAACATGATTAAAAAGTTATTCAGTAAACAATTAATTGTTACCAGAAATATGTGGAGTCATCACTTGGCTGGTCGGGTGAGCGCGGCGAGGATTCCAGCTACGACTCCGAGTGTGATGACGATGGAGGACATCGGACCGCCTCGCGCACACCCTCCGACACCCTCGCGGCAGAGTTCGCGGAGTACGTCACACTAGCTCCACCACCGCAGCCTAACCAGGTAAGAAAATAAAATACCAAATAATCGAGATCTTAGAAGATAATATAAATAATGAAAATTCAGTATGAAAATGATCGTGAATTGAAAATAAATTAAAAATAAAAAAAACAATATTTTTAAGGCATTTTTATAATACAGTTCGTAATATGTTTAGCACTTTTATCAGTTACGGTAAACCATACTACAAACATCGTTCAGTTAGCAACTCTGTATAGAATAGTATCTGTGTTGCCACAATTCAGTGCTAAACTGATTACGTGGGGAATATTCAGGCTGCATCGCTAATTGATGCGTCCTCGATTCGCGAGATGTTTGCTATTTCACACTGGTCACAATATCAATGTACCTTTTGAATAATTCATTATCATAAACAGAGGTCAATTCAATTCAGAGGGGTTATCTATCGTCTTTAATACGCCAATTTGAATCTTTTATCTTTTAAATCTTAATAAAATTGACATTGGTTTTGAAATAGTTCTGATACTTGCCTCCTATTATAACCAAATTTATTTACTTATTACTAATCGACCTATTTTGTTTTTTATTTTATTTTAAATGTATTATTATTATAAAGTATAAAATAAATATAAAGTTATGAAAGTAATTTTAAGTGAAATGCTAAATAAAAGGAGAAAGTGTTGGCAATGTGCCCCCGGCCTTATCAAATGCGATTAGCGACAGCTGGACGCAGAGTGAGACTGTTTTAAAACAGAACTTTCATATATTAGTCTCTATCCGTAAGATCTAGACGATAATTTTTATGTAACAGATTCGTCAATAACTTGTATAGAAATTTAAAGGGTATAGACATATTTAAAGAATTATAACTACAGGTCCTTTGAAGGATTGTTCGATTCGGGGAATCTCTCGGGAACCTTGCTACGTAACTATGTTAATTGTACCCCCACGAGACAGACAATTGCAGCTTATATGAGACTAATCCTTATATAAGTCATACGGAATTTCAATGTTAGATAGAAAATAGGTCATTCTCTTTTTCTCATCTGTGATAATAGCACGATACGTAGAAACTTATCTATTTGTTTATGAGCGGAACTATGTTAGTGACGCACTAATATATCAAGAAAATACGGCGCGTGCGTCAGTAGTCATCAAATAAATAACATATATTTGTATGTAGAACTTATAACGTTAGAAATTATGATAAGATTTAATTAATAGCTTCCTTAGGTATACATTGAAATAGACATATATATGACGTACGTCTCGATAACAGTAATAATATATCTTAGCAATGTCTCGCATTCACTTTCGTTATTTTAGATTAACGTATAGATGTTTAATTTATTTAAATCTACTAGATGCCATTTTAACGGCCTTGGTTTAAAAGCACTAATAATTTTCTTAATTATGGAAGTATTTGAATTTAAATATGTGCAAATATAGATTTTCGAATCCAGTATTACTGTGCATCAATAAAGCAATCGATCGTGCTTGTATTGTTTGTTTAGGATATTAAACACCAAGTACTTTGCGTTTTTAAAACCTAAAAAAAAAGTCAGAGAACTTTTTTAATTACTATGTAGTTTATAGTATAACGTTATAGACAAAGTTAAACCTTCTGTATTAATAAAATATATCAATCTTTAAGTTTTGGCTATTTAGCTAAGAGTTTATTGTTTCGTCGATTTGAGCTTTACCATGTTTAGTGATGTTCTTTAACGTTCAACAGGCTAAGATCGATTTCGCGGTAAAACTGGGCTACTCGGAACGTCTCGCTCGAACTGCGCTGCAGCGGTTGGGGCCGGACCCACCGCGCAACGAACTGCTGGGCGAGCTCATCAAGCTAGCGGCACAGCGACCCGCGCGCCCCTTGTCGCCCCCCGCGCCCGCAGAGCCCGAGCCCAGCGTCGAGCGCGCGCCGCTCCGACATGTCGTCATCGACGGCAGCAACGTCGCCATGAGGTAACACACCGTGCAACATTTACGTAACCTAAACTTTGAGAAACCAGTTTTCTACGTGTATGTTGCACGTTGAAACTGTGCATATTTTTAACACACGAATTTATCAACCAATTACAAGTTTTGCCGAGCATATAAGTAAAAAGAAGATACCAAAGATTACAAAAGAAATAAAAAAATATATTACATTGTTCATAATATTGTTACACTGTGTTTCTGAACGTATTTACCAAAAACTGTTTTTTTTTTCAGTCACGGTAACAAAGAAGTTTTCTCGTGTCGTGGCATAGAGATATGCGTGGACTGGTTCCGAGCGCGAGGCCACAAGGAGATAACCGTCTTCGTACCGAAATGGCGGAAAGAGGCTTCACGACCCGACAACCCGGTAGCTGATAGAGACGCCCTCGACCGCCTAGAGAGAGAACGGGTATTGGTGTACACGCCGAGCAGGCACCTCGGCGGCAAGCGGCTCATCTGCTACGACGACCGCTACATCCTGCGTCTCGCCGCCGAGACCGACGGCATCGTCGTCTCCAACGACAACTACCGTGACCTCGCCGCCGAGAGGCCCTATTTCCGCAAGGTCATCGAGGAGCGCCTGCTCATGTTCTCCTTTGTAAACGATCGTTTCATGCCCCCGGATGATCCTCTCGGTAGATCCGGCCCCACCTTGGATGCATTTCTTCGCCTTCCCCCCTCGAAAACAGATCCTCCACCCGCCTGTCCCTACGGCAGAAAATGTACATACGGGAACAAGTGCAAATTCCATCACCCGGAACGGGCCGGACGCCCGCACAAGCCGGTCGCCGAGAAACTGTCCGAGCGGGCGGCCAAAGCGATGAAAGCCCGCGACCTGCACACGCTCAGCCTGCCGCCGAGCGGTCGGCCGGCGGACAATAAGAGGCCGCTGGCGCGCGCGCACTCCGCCGCGCCCCGAGTGCCCGACGCGACCCTAGCGACGCACTTCGACCGCGCCCAGGTGTTGCCCGGTCCTTCGCAGCCGCCGCTGGACACACATCCGACTCACTCTAACCAGCATAGAAAGTTGGCGCGGCAGCTCACACTGAACCCGGCTTGCGACCCGAGACTGCACGCCCACGCCCACTCCCACGCGCACGCAGTGGCTGGGCGCGTGGCGTCGGCGCCAGTGGGCGCGGCGGGCGCGGCCGGCAGTGCCGTGTCGCTATCTCCGTGCGCTTCGGAGGGCGCGCTGCAACAGTGGGAGGCGCGCCGTCGCATGCACTTCCACCTGGCGGGCATCTTCCCCGAAGCGCACGTCGCAGAGGCGATGGCCACCTACCCCGAGGAAACGGATGCGCAGAAGATGTGCGCTATCATCTTGGACCGGTACCGGCCGAGCGAGGCTCCACTGCCGCGCCTCTCCTATCATTAACTGTCTATGTATTGCTGCTCGAATTATCCTCTGTTTCATTTTGAAATGGAGATCATATGTTCACTGTGTTGGTAGCACATCTCGCTTGCAAACATATTCAATACTGACGCTTTACAAGACGCTTTTGGAATTTGACTAGATATCTAATTTTGAAAACAGACGGACTGAAAAAGAATCATTGTAATATATCACAGCCTTAGTATGTTGGCAGCCTTGACAAATCAAGAGTGCCTCATTACTGTGTACATTTAGAGTTATTGCTTCATCATACACTTCTACGAAGCGTATGTGTTATTTAATAATTTCGTATTAAGTTAAGTTTTTAAGTTTGTACAAATTATTCTTCGTAAATATTCGGTTCAACTATATACTAAATATATATAAAAATGCATATATGCATGCAATATATGCAAGCATGAAGCCCTTAACTTTTAAGAATAATTAACAATTATATATTTCATATGTGAATTCAACTAAAATTTTGTTAAATAACAAAATATACATTTTTATATACACACATGTTTAAAATGTGTAGTTATAGCTATCATGAACTATATATTATTGGTACTATGTACTAAATTGTTTAATTATAAATAGTTTATTCATATTACATTATAAATGTGAGTTTTCACTGTCAAAATACCTGTACAAAAACACATTATTCTCTTCTTTTAAAAAGAATGAGAAATCTGACATGTTTTGTACATTTTTTGACAATGACAATCCACAATACAAGTTTTTTTTTTGACACATTTGATTATAATTATTTAGTTAACTTTAGAATGAGTATTAAGGCCAGACATATAATTACTAGTTATTATTGTATAGTTATATATTTTGTGAACATTCTATATTGTTTGATTTATATCGAATTGAACTTAAATAAACTTTAAATGCAATGCATCGAATGAAAATGTAAGATAAATTTTATCTACCCGCTTTCTCCACTGCATATTCCATTTACACTATGGAGTGATGTGTTTTTGTATAATTTAAGTGTAAAATTTCATCAATAATCAATACTGAATGCAAATCTTATAGTTAAAAATGGGGTTATTCTTGTATGAGTTAACTCTCATAGATAGCAAGTAGCTTGCAATTATATCTATTTTACAAAGTTATATAAATTTGATTGCTTAATTAAGCTGCAGTTTACAGATGTTATATAATACAGTCAAATCTGGAGAAGCAAGAGCCATTGTCATATGAGATAAGCGAAACTCGGTTAGAGAGACACTTAATATTCAAAATACTGCGGTCCCCTGAACCCTTGTTTAACTGTATTTGACTTTTTCTTTAGTATTATAAGTTACAGTAATGATTTTTGATGAAATTTAATTATGTACTCTGAAAATGTGATAGGAAAATTCTAAATATATTATAATAGAAATCCTGTAACAATTTTTGAGTAGAATAAGTGAATTCCTTTTTATAGGAATGTTTTATGTGTTTTATTATGTCTTTTTTGACATTATATTAAAATAACTTACTTTATTATTAAATAAATGATTTTATTTGAAATATTACTTTTATTTTAATATACAATTATATGATTACTTTACCTTTACTCTGTTTGGATTGTTAGATATTCTTTTAACAATCATTTTCTTGTACGCTTTTCCCTCGTTTACATTGATAGAAGAAATTGCAATGAAGTCTTGACCAATAAAATCTTTACTTGTTTTTTCTTCCTTTTGAATATTTGGTGGTATAAATACTCTTTTCTTGTCAGTTCTATATAAATAAGGATAATGTAAAACATTACTAGTGACTTCAGATTCTATTTTAGTATTATCTATACTTTCTTTCATTTCAATATCTTGTTCATCTTTTTCAATGCCAGTGACATTTACAACTGACATTTCTTGTTTATTAGGCTTATGTTTTCTTGATATTTCTATAATCTTGTTTGTTAGGTCAGTTAAAATATTAAGCTTAATTCCTAAACAGCTTGTTGCTATCCCAAAGTTATCAGCGGTAATTTTCTTTAAACCAGTCATACATAACACAGGTACAGAAGTTTTATGGCATTCTTCAAGTAGAGGATGTACTATAGCCCTTGGGATAACTTCATTTTCTAAAATTAAAGCAGCTAATTGTTGATTCTCTACTAAGTTTCGACATTCAGATAGACCGAAAACAAGCCCCTCAACCCGCCTGTGGACAGAAAATTTTTAGAAAACCATAGTCAAAAATATTATATCTAGACGTTATTTTTAAATTTTGCAGAAGTCAACTAAAGCCTGGCAACTAAAGAAATCTGTGTTAAATGTAATTAAAACTTACTTGACAGGAGGTTGTTTAGGTCTTTCAGATTTAGGTAAACATTTTATATCTTTCCAATGTGGTTTTTTGAACTCCGGTATGGACACTCTGTACTTATGTAGTATAGTTTCTAATTCTTTCCCTTCAGCTTCTGTTACAGCTGGCCTAAAATAAAATAAAAAAACTGCTGTAAAAGTGCGAAAAGAATATTGTTAGGCGTAAAGCGTAGTGTTCTTTAAAAAGCTTACCAATATACTGCATCGGGTCGACAAATAACATTTTTTATAGTTTTTTTTATAGTTCCCTTGCTGATCGTAGTCTTTTTTCTCTTCAAAACTGCCGCTTCAGTGCTCATATTGAGTTAAACTTATTTTAAAATTATTTATACAGCTCAGTTAATATATTTCTATATCCTTTTATGTTGCTTTTGTAATAAAACAATTTATTAATTAAAATTTACCATAACCTAAAATGAAAACAAGCAAAACCGATGGATTGAACGTCAACTGTCAACATTGTCAATTTGTCAAAGTCAAGTTCACTTTATGGAGACAGACAAAAAATCAAACATGATGGCAGGAATGTACAGATTTTATATTCTTCGTTAACGATTGGATTTTGAAATTAAACATTTGAAAATAAGTTTTCGCCTCTACAATTTCTTAACATTTTAAATTATGAAGGTAAAAAAAAAACTGATATGGTGTAACGAAACTACATTATCTTAATACCGACCTCACGACGTCTTCCAACAATACAGGGTAGTTTAAAAGCCGCTCCACACCGATTCAATGTCTTCAGCAGGCTTAAAATAAGGAAAGTTCATAGCGAAGAAAAGTAGAGAGGAGTGGACTGAGTAGAGATTGGAAGCAGGAAGCGGTGTTCTACAAAAATGAAATTAAGATTGAGATCTCCTCTCTGAGAGAGATCTTTCAAGATCTTGTGTGAAAATAAAGATAATCTACACAGTAGATTTAAGTATAAATTTTCTCACTTCTTTGGTAAACTTGTTACGATTCTGTTGTGTCCTATTTAAATAAAGCTACATAGTCAAATTAACATAACTAAAAATAAGAACATTCATTATGATTTCAATTTCTACGATGTATAATTAAAAACACTACTTCAAAGAAAAAAAAATTGTATTTGTTTTACAGTAATTTATATGCGCCTAATGACAAAGAAGCTTCGCATAGGGAATAAAATAAATCTTCGGATAGGAACTTACTTGGAAATGGCTTGCAAAAAACATAAGTTTTTGTTATAGGCCGGGCCGTTGGCGAAACTTATTGTTCCGACAAAGACGGGGCGGGGGATGCAATAATAACGCAGTAAGGGTGCGTAATGAAACTTTTACCTGGGACCGATGTAATGCACTTTTAGGAAGGGTCTCATTCATTCGGAACTAGTCCGTGCGACATGATCTATTAGATATGAACTCGAAAGGTAAAATAGAGAAGTGGCTCTTTGAGGAATGGAGCAGTGGCCGTGTTGTGAACTCAAGGTCTATGTTGAAAGTGGAACATGAGGTGTCTAAGATCGGGGTGCCCATAGGTGATACAAATACAGTGAGAAAGCGGAAACACTTATCTAGTGAGTTAATTTTTTATTTTGATTTCCTTTTTTTTTTAAATCTATAAATTATTTATTTGTCCATTTCGTTTAAGGGGTACCACCTCTTAAATTTAATGTATCACGATCACAAGGGGTGTGCGGTTGATATCATACCATAATTGCAAAATATATAATTTTATATGGTTCATCTAAATCCATAGAAAAACTTAGCACAAACGCACACGCAATGTTATTTAATTTCAATAAAAGTTATAAGAGAAAGAAGTGTATGTACTTATGTATTAAACTGGACTAATCCCTAAATTAACAGTTACCTTATGCCTTTCTTACACAAACTTGTATATTGTTACTATAAAATTTAAATCTTCAAATTTATTACTTACTGTTTGTACTTCGACGTCAGTTATCTTTTTATTAAGCCTGCGATCCGTCGAATTCTTTGAACACCGTGCAGTACCTTTACAAATTCTACCGGATCATATTCCCCTTCGCGCGCTTCCTTACCACGACCTAACGGTTCAAAATTTTTTTATGACTACAAAATGTTGTCATACAATAATAATAAGACATTTTTATGTATGAAATTTAATGAGTTATAATAATAAGAAATAAAGTGATATAATATCATATTTGTTTTCGTCATATCATTGTATTTTTTCGGACAAGACTTCCATTTCGTAATACCATGTTTATAGATGGAAGACATGGTCTAGAAGCTGATAAAATAATAGAACTAAAAATGGAAGAAGGTGGACCAAGCGGTCAACAAGAAGACATGGACTTCTCATCGAGCGCCTCATCTTGGGAGCCAAGCGATGACAACCTTTCATCTGAAGACTCTGAGGTACTGTCAAGGCCGTTTATTTGCTACCCATTTCGATGTTTGTCGCTCACAATGTTGTACGGTCGAAAAATTCTCATACAACATACATTTAAATTATAGCTATATAATTGAGAAGACAATTTAATTATTTATACTTTATCATTATTTTTTTTTGGTTCATTGGTATTTTTCGTGTATTTTTTTTTAATAATGAACAAAATAAGGAATCTAAAATTCGAAAATATGATTACGAAAACTAAAACTAACTTTATTACGTTAAAACTAGTTCAAGGGATGCAGGTAAAATCCCCAGGTAATTGTCTTCTTTGAATAATGGTTTAAAATTACAAGGAAGACTTAGTACCGTTGTAACCAAACGTTTTTTAGGCGTAATTATCTCATTGAATGAATAGTGCGCCACATAAAACAATAAAAAAATCCTTTAACTTAATACTTTTTACTAATAATCTTTATTCAAACAAACTTATTATTGTACTACTTATTAGAAAGAAAACTATCAATTTAATGTTCATTAGCAAAGCTTACGTGTCCCAAGAAAAAAATAAAAGTCAACCTTGGATGAAATCGATTTACTTTTAATTAAAATTTGTTTTAAAAATTGTAACTAATCTTCTTTTTTACCCTTTTTTTTCAACCAAATTCTGTTTAAATTCACAGCCAGAAAACAAAACTAACAAGACAATGAACACTACGAAACAATACACCAATAAAAGGGTAAACAAAAAAGGTCCAATACCACTGCATAGACCGAATGCAATCATACCAAATGTTTTACAGCCGCGACAAACAAATATTGTAGATAAAAAGAAACGTTGTAGATACATCGACTCAGCAAATAAAAGAGAAATCGTTAAGAAATCATTACCTGATTCAACAAGGAAGAACACACCACCGAATGAATCAATTAAAAATGGTCACAATAATGTAAAAGATATTTTGGATATAAAATCCGGATTTAGACAACTATTTCAAATGATTAAAGACCTTAAAACACAGGCGGGTTTTGTTTCAAGAGAATGTAATGGGACAAATAAAAACACATCAGTGGTAAATAATGATATTATGGATATATCGGAGGGAGAAGAAAGTGATAGAAGTCAAAGTGTGGAATCAAATAGATCGGATGACAATGTCCTTATCAGCAATAAATATGCTAGAGCTGATGTTCGAAATCCTACAACAGAAAACATAACAGAAGAAGAATGGGTAAACAGAACTAATTAGATTTACGTCTTATCCTTTTTAAAATTGAGATATCAAGAATTTATACTATTTTTTAATTAGTAGAAAACTTAATTACGTCGTCGTCGTCGTACGTTGTTGTTCTAATTAGGTATTTAAATTTCTTAACGTCAGTAAAAAATTTCTTTGTACTTTCAGATACCTATAGGAAGTGGGAAAACTCTGATACACAAAGACAAATATAAAAAAGTAAATTGGAAATCTTACACGATAGCAACAAGAACTCTACTGCTTGCAACATTCCCCAGAAGGTATGTATGCAATTCTACACCATCCACTGATTAAAAATCAATAAAAAAACTTTTTGTCTCATTTTTGTTAGGAAAAATGAGAGGGATAAATATAAATTATTTTTAAATAAAAATAAATCTTGGTTTTTCACTTTAGAGGAGATCTATTTTAAGATGCTGGAAATATAGGTTTTTTAGGCAAAGAAAATTCACAGTTTTTTGTAGTCATTTGTAATTTTATTTTATAATTTTCCAGAATTCTAGCCACCCATTCCCTTACTGGGAAAAGGTCACCCGCTTTCCGGAACAAGCCAGCAAAAATGTGCCTCGATCCTAAAATCGTATCTGATGTTATTATGGAAATTACATCCAGATTTAGGGTCAAGGAGAATTTAGTTAGGTTAGTAACTTTATCATTTTAAGGTTTTTAATTTCTTTTAAGGATATCCTTGGATGCTTGGATAAATGGATATACAACGGTTAACACAATTTTAATAATTATTTTACATTTATTTTTCCCATTTGTAGAAGTATCATTACAACAAAGTGTGCAGACGAATGTAAGATGTTTAAATTGAGGATGAAACATAAAAACAAACAAGAACAAAATCAAGAGAACACACCGCCGATACAAGAAACAGAGCCCATAGATTATTAGAGAGCTTTTGTTTAACATTCTCTTGAGTGTAACTACAAGAATGGAAACATATTTTGTTAACCAGTGGGGCCTTTTAGTGTTTTAATCCTGTGTAGCCAAAGCTTATACTTAATGTAAAAAGTTTCGATAATTTAATAAAATTAGGTTAAATAATTGTATTTTTATTTGGTGCACCAATTCAGCTTATGTATAATCCTCCTTCCAAAACATCTTTTTGGTACTTACCTCTTAAATAGCTTCACAGATTAGTTATACAGATTCCATTTGCGTGCATAACGTTGCAATAGTCTGTATTATGTGTCAAGACGTGACTGCATAGCAATAAAATTTGTTTCAAAAATGATTTCAATCATAATCCTGTTAGTATTTATTTAATAAAAATAAATAATACATAACTGTGTAGTAAAAAACTTATAGAATAGAATGACGTCTTGATGAGATTGCCATCTTTGGGCGAGTTGATTTTTTTTTTGCATTTCACCGTCACGTCATTTATCAATTGCCTTGCTGGAATATACCCAGGGGTGAAAGTATAATGTCAGTGTTAGTACTCGCATAGATGGCGCGCATCAGCATCATTTCATCAGGAGTGAAGCGCCAGCCACTGAGTTGTCCAAGACTCTGAAGCTTGGGGCAGCACTCGATAAGTAATTCCACGGTCTCTGCGGACAGCCGTGGTGCATTCGGAAACCATATCGCCTCTAAATATGGAAACTTGTAGCGACGGAGCATCCTGAAAATATACGCAGATTGAGGGTAAAATAGTTAACCTAGACGCGCTTTTTATTAAGTATGTTGGTGGTTAAAGAAAAACTAAGAAAAGTAATCCAAAGATCTAGTATTAGATCCCAAATTTTGGGGTTTAAATTTCTAGAAAGAGCTAATCAAAACAAAATTGCGCATTTTTGAAAACAAGTCAAATATTGTCAAATTTTAAATAAAGTAAAATTTTTACCTTGACATATCACAATCGTCTAGAAGAATCTCATCGCCTATTATCAATTTCTTTAACTTAGGGCTGGACGTCATTAAATATTTCAAACATTGCATTGAGAGGTTACCGTGTATTATTTCGATATGTTCCAACTTGTTAAACGGTATTTCTTCTTCGTGAGTCGCCGTTTGTATCTGATAGAATTCTAGACTTTCCAAATTAGTACAAGTTTCGGCTATCCTAGTAAAGTTGAATGACCCCAAAGACGCAGAAAGCATAAGTGTTATAATTTTATAACCTATTTTATCCAATAACTGATGTAGTTCGTGACATTGGAATTTATTCAATTTAATCTTATTTACATAACTCAAATCTTTTATTAATTGTAGCACCCCTTGATCGGGCTCCTCTAAATATATTGTCTCCAACATCGGACATAGAGCGACAATCGCTTTCATAGTCCTTAAATTAGTTCTAGAATCGTGCATGTATTGTAGTTTAGTTTTAAATCCAGGCGGGCAGTCGTTGTTGTGTATGTAATAAATAGCTTTACCAACAAACGAATAACTGCCGAGATTTGTCAAGTTAGGCAAGCGTCGTATCAACAAAGCCACATCTGTATGATCTATATTCTCTTCACCATAGATACCGATATTCACAACGGTTAAACTCTGAGTGAGTTGGGGATTACCTGTCAGCATTGCATCTATTCCAATCTCCGTTATATCCGTCTCACCTGACACATCTAATAATTTGAGCACTTTGTTATGTTCACCTATGAATTTGAGCACTTCATCATTCGCCATATACGGTATATTAAGAGTCGTTAAGTTAGTGAGGTTCTTTACCAGCTGATAGAACAATGATAGATGTTCATCTTTAACCCATACACCTTTTAAATTGAGTGCAGTAAGATGCTTTCCTTGTTCAGTGATCAATTCTAGTACTTTCCTGTAATATTGGCAGGGAAAGATCCCGGTCGCTAAGCTCTTAACATTTTCTTTAAGCAGCAGTTTCATTGACAAATATCGTATCGACGGCTCGAGATATTCTGAACTAAGTATCAAGTTGAGTAAATCCTGGAATATGTCATTGGTAGCTCCCATACTTTCGTAGTAAGAGGACACCATAGCGAAAGGTAATTCGACATCTTCATCTGTTGTAACACGAGATAGCGCGTGTATCAGCTGTCTTCCAACTAAAGAGAGTGTTACGTCTTGGAGGGGAGGAACTGGACACTTTGGAGACATTATCACAATATAAACTGTTTATAAATCACTAACTACGATATATTATTAAATATAATTATATATTGAGCATCACTGTCACTTATACTGCGAGTTTACGCGTTCAAAATTAGAAGTGAGAAAAAATTGGTGTAAGCTATTTAACGCGCATGCGCAACGTATTGGCTCGCAGCCAGCGCACGCGCACAAACACGACCATTATTTATAGATCTTTTATGTGTAAAAGGTGTTTATAACACGCAACGCAAGATAATTTTCATCTCTACGTTAAAAATAGAGCTGTAGATATCAATCTTACACATGGCACTGCGATCCTTGTCTTTTATTTTATACACAGACTTGGCCGGGTTTGGTTGACATTGTTTATTTAGTCTGTGTAAATTTTAAAAATAAACAAACAAATTTTAGGGATAGAAAGATAGCTTTTCGTGATAATGATATTTGAAATTATCAACAATTTGTTGACATGATTGTAGTAGGATTGGTTACAAATAAAACAAACTCTAAAAGGCGTATTTTTTCTTATTAGGAGAAAAAAGTTATAATAATTGCATAGATAATGCATATGCCGGAATCCAGGTCATTATTCTTTTCTTCTTTTTATTGTAAAATTTATTATTTGTCATAGATGAAGGGAGCCAATGATTAGACTATTCCAGCTAGTCCATTTTACTCAGGAATTTGAAACAAATCTATCATACTTTTTAATATACAATATTAACATTTTATAATATTATTAAAGTAAATGATTCAATGGCGAAATAGGAATTACATTCAATGTCAATAGAAATGAAAAATTATAACAAATCAATTTCAAGAATTTTTCCTTCATTAGGCTCAAATCACAGACTTATTAGAAATATACTTGTTTGGATCATTAGTTTAAACTCTTTGATTTCCAAATTAAAATCCATAGACAATAAATTACATTAACGGTTAGTAAAATTTGAAAATAAAATTTCTCATTTCCATTGATCATAGAAAATTATGTATGTTGAATAAGTTTAAAAATTGCTAAAAATAGATATGATAATATATGAATTACACATAAATTCATATAAATTATGATATCTATATACTGGAGCGTCGGTGGCTCAGTGGTCAAGCTGCTTGCAATCTGCAGACCCTGGGTTCGAATCCCGCCATGTACCAATGTGTTTTTCGATTTCCGATTTACATATGTACATTTATCCGACGTTCTTACAGTGAAGGATAATATCGTGATGCAACCTGCACATATCTGAGAAGAAATTCAAAAGATATGTGTGAAGTCAACCAACCCGCACTTGGCCAGCGTGGTTGACTATGGCCTAATCATCCTTAACTTAGGGTAGGCTCCGAGCCCCTCGGTGGGGACGTTTAGTGAGCTGATGATGATGATGATATCCATTGTTAGATATACTACATCTCAACATATATTAACAATTGATCCTATGACATTCCAGAAATATGACTTTACTATGACCGTACAGATTTGTAATAATTTTGCGCACCCTTTTCATTAGTCTGTTTACTTACGAAACCATTCACTTTATCTCCAAAATATATCTCCATACCTAATAATATACAATAACTAAGACTTAAAAATAAAATTAACTCTAATTTTACTCAAGAGACCAAGATATACTGGTTATATCCCACCTTGTCCAATCTGTAATTACGTAGGTACGGGAAGGTCTTTCGCTACGAGGAGTAGTATCTGTTCAGTGCTGTAACACCAGTTTGCGATGTCCTTGGAGACGCGGCACCAGAACTCACCGTGGTGGGGTTCCGCCGACTTACAACGACTCTTCACGTCTTCTTGCTGTTGTTCTGTTCCATGTAATAACTCAAACTTGTAGAAAAACGCCCAAGCATCACCTAAGTCCGGATCGATTTTTACCTGTTTGAAAGAAAATTTTGGATGAAATTCTTAGAAATTAGAAGAATTATATTTTTTTTAATTTAAATCACACTTTTAAACATCTTGGCTCATTGTCAAGCGATAGCTTTGATCAACATTTCCATTTAGTTAAAAATTAAAAAAAAAACTAATTTTTCAATTACAAAGTTGTTAAAAAAACACCAAAGTGTATTTACCGTACGGTTAAACCACTCGCGGCACTTATTGAGCTTCCTCTCAGTCCAGAAGAGCTGGGACACAGCCAGCAGCACATGAGCGTCGTGCTCGCATTTCTTTAGCGCGTCAACCTGCAAAATATTATAACAAATTAACAAAAAAAAACATGATTAGTAGGTAAACATCTATACCAAGTTTCAACGAGATTCTTTGAATCGATCTGGAGATATATACCTTCTAGCAAATCATCCATCCATCCAAATTGTCGCATTTATATTAATAATAATTAAGATTTTTTTTCTATAAATCGAATTGAGAAAAAAATAGTTTCATTAAACTATTAAAAAAAACAGGAAATTAGAAAATGTTAGCATCCAACCTGTAGACACTGGACTGGAATGATGAAAGAGACTACGATATGTATTAACTCATATAATGTTTCTCTTTTATCAAATAAAACGTAAGAAATGTTAAAATGAATACATCCAGTGCTGTGAAGTTCCGGGGTAATACTTACACTCTTAGTTTTCCTCTGAGGCCGCGACTCCATGAATATAGCCTCAGCCCAGAGCCGGCCCGCATTGGGACATTCCTGTAAAGCCTTCGCCATTACTGCGTTAGCTATGTCCACGCTTCCGTTTCTCCGCTCCAATCTTACACTCTCCAACCTAAGTTAAAAAAATTACACTTTTTTTTATTAATTTTACGAAATGGTTTAAAATTAATGACCATAGATAAAGTGTTTGATTACTATTTTTTTTATTTATATTGTTGTATAAACTTACCATAAATCTGGGTTCTTTGGGTTTCTCAGACGTGCCTTTTCGAGTACGGATCTAGCCTTAGTGACGTGTTTCAGTTTCTCTTCAAGTCTTGAGAGTAAAATCCACATTGGTACACTTGTTGCACATTTCTTTAACTGAAATCAAAGACATTGTATTAAAAAAAAACAAAACCTTTTTTGTACCTCCACGGTGTTGTAAGGTTAGTAATAAATAAAAAAAAAAATTGGAAAAATTAAAAAAAAAAAACTTGTTTTTTTCCGTTCTTTTTTAATATTGTTTTACATAGTAAAAACTTACTCCTTGTGAATAAGTATTATGCGCGTCATCGTCTTTGCCCATTTGTTCTTCAATCTGTCCCTTCATCATGTGCAGCTTGGCATAATCCCCGAACACTTTGATAGCTTCATCCAGCAAATTTAGCGCTTCTTGCAGATTGTTTAAAGCCCATTCTAGTTTCGCTGATTTTATCATTACCTGAATAATTATAACAAAGTAATTAACATCGCAACAATAATATAGAAAAAAAACAAATGTCAATTTTTGTGAGGGCACAGCATTTTTGATGAGAAATTCTAAAAAAATATAACAAACTCTCGGTGTTGGAGCGGAGGCTCTCGCTTTGGCGAGCAGTCGTCTCGCTCTGTCGTACTCTTTGTTCTCACTCTCCAACTTGACGGCGGCAAGCCAGATCTCCTCTGAGTTAGGGTTGGCTTGGAAAGCTAACGACAATATACCTCTTGCAGCTGGCACATCACCTACAAACAATAATATTAACTAACTACCCGTTATAAATCTTACCAATATTATAAATGCAAATGTTTGGATGGATGGATGTTTGTTTCAAGGTGTCTCGAGAACGACTGTATCGATTTCGCAGAAATTTGGCATAGATGTAGAACATAGTCTGGAAGAACACATAAATTGGTCTGCACACAATTTAAGTATGGTTGGTCATAAAGGAATACGTGAGGACGCGGAATGACCTTGAACCGCATATAAGATTGACGCAAGCGAAGTTCTGCATTAATTGGTCGTGCATTTATGTATGTGTATGACTTACCTGCCAACCACTTAGACTTGGCCCCCATGAGCCAGAGCACCTCAGACTTGGGACAGTGGGCGACGGCGCGCTGCAGCAGTGACTCGAGGCTGGCGCGGCTACCGTGCTGTTTCTCCAGGTATGCGGCGCGAAGCCATATTGATTTCTTCGACGGGAACACGGATAATGCGTACCCGTATATTGCGCGTGCGCACTCGTACGCACCGTCGTGCGCACACTAAAATGATACATAGAGATTGATATATGCTATTTGATGAGATATACAATTGTATAAAGTATAACATAGATATATAGATAGTTTTATAGCTAATAACTTACAGCTTCGGCATCTTCCATCCATGTATGTTTCTGGTCCTCTGGATCGATTCCGTGTCCAATAATCGCCCGTATGATAGCCTGGTAAACAAATTTGAACTCTAATTAGCCTCATAAAAAGAACATATTTTCTTAATAACATAACTAAAATCAATAGCATGTTTGTTAAAATTACAACGCTATGTTCATACCTGGCAAGTATGAACAGCTCCGGACTTTTCAGCTTCCATTGCTTCCTTGAACCAGTGTTCCCTGTTGATCTCCACACCGTTCGCGCTGAGAGATGTTATCGCACGGTCTATAATCTTCTCCACCATGTGAGTGTTGCCTTATATGGAGAAAACATCAACATATTATTTACGAGGCTAAAGAAGTTTACTAGATATGAATAACATGTATAACCTTATATAATTCCTTATCCGTGCTGCACAAAACTAATATTTTTTCTATGTTTAAATACACAAAATTCTATATATTTTGTTGTTTAATATTTTTTAGTAGATAATCAATGTTAAACTCACCATGAGCCTCTTCTAGTTTGGACGCAGTCACCCAAATCTGCCTGTCCGTTGGTATGTTCTCGCGGGCTTTGTTCAACACTTTTCTGGCATTCTCATATGTTTCCAGTCTGGCTAAAGCAAGCCAGAGTTCCACACTAGTTGGGCAGCATTCAACTGCACGTGATAATAAGATACGAGCGTCCTCCGGATTCTCCAATTCGACTGCTGCTTTCCAAAGACGAACCGAGTTCGGTATGTGCTCTAACGCTTTGCGGTAAACACGGCGTTTCGCCTGTTAAAATACAATGATAGCTTAAGCTAATATACAACAGTTACTTGTTCCTAACATTTTTTTTTAGATATCATCAAACGCATTTATACGATTAATTACAATGTATCAAACATGAACATAAAATAGGCAAGCAAATTCAAAATTTACACAGAAATTAATTTTTTACCTATTTAATAAAAAAAAACATAAAATAGGAAGAACATCAGTGTTGTAATGTAATTTTTAAACTAAAGTGTTGTAGATATAACATTTTGAGTTACCTTAGTCTCCTGCTCCAAGTCTGCAGCTTTGACCCATATCCTGACGCTGTGAGGCAGGTTCCTGGCGGCGTGTGCGATGACGGCACGCGCAGTGTCGCGCGGCTGCAGGCGAGCCGCTTCCAACCATAACTCCTCACTACTCGGATTCACTTCGCAACCTTTCATTATCAAGTTACGGGCGGATTGCACTTTGCCTGATGAAAAAAATAATCTGTTTATAAATGTGCACTTCGATAATTACTTGTTTCTGACAGCACCCAAAAATTGATTTACGTCTTTAATAATATGATAAATAGGAAAGATTTCTTTTTTTGTTTGCATTGAATGGGCTCCGAAGCTATTGCACGTATTTGAAAAATTCCTTCACTGAAGTTTGAGGTAAAGATTATTTACAATAAATTTCGAATACTCATCTTTGTAATAATGCCATAATAGATGCAGAATTTACATTTGAAAATTAAACACAACAATTTACCTGTTACTTCCTCCAGACGGGCACTAGCAATCCAAGCTGGAGGATGGTTTGGATTAGTTTCTCTAACAGATTTCAGTAAGAGGCGGGCTTTCTTAATGTCATTAATATCCCCACCGTAAGTAGGTATCATAGACTGCAAATCTGTTAAATATCCTTTAGGATCAACAACTGTCTGTCCAGTAACAGAGTCAGATACTTGAGATAATTTTACAGTCATCAATGTGTTCCGGGCTTGACCAATTTTTCTCAAATCCAAATCACCTGTAAATATAAAATGCTTTTAAAATTATTATTGTACATTTTTTATACTATAAAGTGGCAAATGAGCAAGCGGCCGCCTGAAATAGCTTAAATAGTGAAAGGCTTAAATAGCATTGTCCAAAGACGTCTATAATTGCATATACATTGCCGACGTTTAATCGACAGAGGAGGGGATACATAGGAAGAGAATATTTGCCATGCCCATGCATCCCTTAATTTACTTTTGTTTAATATTTGTAAATGTTTAAGTATTGAAAAGTTATACCTGAAGGTGTAAGCATTCCAGGTGTAGCAACACCAGGCATCATTGAAGCAAGACCTGATCCCGGATCAATAGATGTACTAGATTCTCCACCAAGATTCCTAGACAGTACACTATCTGGTAACGGAGTGAACTTCTCAGCCCGAGGATTTCTCTGCTTTCTATTTCTAGCATCACCAACTTCTGGAATTGCAGCCCATTCTTCTTCAGAAACCACTTTAAGTTCTCTCTTTAGGTCTGAAAACTGCTGTTGGATTTTTGGTCTGAAATTGAGAATATTATTTTCAATAAAACAAAACTACTATGTATTAAAACATCTGTGTTAAACATTAAAAAAAACTCTTTGCTTTGTTGGTGTTGCTTCATTACTTTTTATACGATTTTTATTATATTCATAAATATTTACCTCTCTTGACGATATCTCTCCAGATCTTCTTTGAGACGTTTTTCTCTGTATTCTTTTCTTTTTTCATCCATTCTCTTGTCAATAGATTCATATATTGCATCTGCCTCTGCATCATCTTTGTCGTAAGGGTCCTGTGTGGAAAATTAATGTTCTTGCAATCATTGTCTGAACAAAAAATAAGACTAAAGACAATTTTAATCCAAACTGAAGTATAAAGTGTACCTTTGAAAACAATGAGCCACTGTATCCAGAAAATTCATCATAATTGGAGTCATTCAAGTCTTCGTCATCATCTTCCTCTTCTGTTTTCTTACGTTTTGCCGCCGGCGGTGCATGGCGATCATCACTAAAAATCCAAATTATTAGTTCATTTGTATTACATTAAAACAATTTTACTCGCAAGAAGAATAATAAATACTTACGAAACGTCATTGGCGTCTCGGGCCGGTCCAATATCCGAACGTGTAGTAAAACCTGTAGCACTGAAAAATTAAATAAAAGTATTATTGTAAATCCTAGATACTTTATCACAAGAAAAGTCTAGATAATCTTACCCTCGACCAACACCAGCTACATAACCTAAGGGCGCAGGGATCCCTAGGAAATGTTTCTTATTTTTATTAACAAATGCTTGTGGTGGTACCGACATTTTGGCATAAAATCAATTGAAAATTTCTTGTACAAACGTACTAATATTTTGTAATTACACAATATTTTAATGAAATCACAATAGGTAGGTAAACATAAATATAACGCAACGCTGTCAACTGTCAAACTGACAATGACAGAGCACTGCACTGGGTATTTTGGACAGAGTATATTTAAGATTTTGATTACATAGATTTTTGTTACTTTCAATTAATTGTTTGGCTTACAATTTGTTATGCTATTTAAATAATAACAAAGGCAGGCAGGCAAGTTAGCAAGGTAGTTAAGGCATTTGAAATTTTTTACTGTCATGTAGGTTCTGTTACCAGAACAATAGAAGCAATTAAGAATACCAAACAAAGCCGTTGCTAAGCAACTGCTAGTTTGATTGAAATTGTTTAATTTTCTTTTCGAATCTTATGTTTCGGTGCCTATATTCTCGTAGTTTTACTAGTATAGTTAGTGAAAATGGCCAATAACTCCTTAGCCAGTAATGAACCAACCAGTGAAGATATACTTAATGAAGAATTTTTACTAATTGAAAAATCTTGTGAATCTAAAGATAGTGACGATGAAATTAGAAATATACTCAATGAACTAAAAAGACTGTCTACTATTAAGAATAAAGATGCTGAAATCGGAGAGGATATTGAGGACGTTGATATGATTTTAAAGAGAGCCGAAGATATTGCACATGAGACCAAGAATTTGTTGAACAGTAGTCCCATTATTGGTATACCCAATGGTGTTTCATCTAATACGGTGGATAAAATACCTCAAATAAAAGTTACGAAGCACCATACCAATGAAAACAACATTGAAATTGATCATAAAATCTTTGGACATCAGAAGGTATGTATAATTTCTTGTGAAATATATGAACTAGTAAAAAGAATATAATCTTGAATCTCTTTAAAATAAATTTAAATATAAAAGTAACGTACAGGGTTCACCAATAAAACAAGACAAAGAATTCAATCTGTTTAATTGTACAACTCTTATAAATATAAATATTAATAAATAGAGTACTACAATGTTCTTAAAATTAATAAATATTTATTACAAACTAATAAATGCTGCTTATTCTAAATTTAAATTATAGTTTAGCTACTTGTGCAGCTAACACTCTCAGTCCATTCAATGATTCTCTTGCAACTGGTTCAATAAATGATGTGGGTAGAATAAAACCATAGCGACCGGTGTCACTTAGTTCTATAGTGAATGAGTATCTTATCCCTTGACCCTTTGCCCAATCATCAGAACCACCAGATGCTGGGTATAAAAGGCCACTTGAAGAGCCCACTTGATATGATGAACCACGGGTTTGTCTTATAGCCTGAAATAATTGCAATAATTTTAGTTACAATCCTTTTGATTAGAGTACAATACGTTGTTTAAGTATTTTTATTTGCTGACAACGAAGATGCCTTCTTGTTGTAAAACAAGCCCCAGTATATTATATATAAATGCAAAAAAAATAATAAATGTAAGACACATGTAAAAGGGTAGGTAATTTATTTTATAACATAGGTATGTGTAGGTTAGTATGGGCGACTTACAGATGCCATCCTGTTGCCAAGTTCATCCAGGTCTTTGTAATCTGGAGGTACTGCATTGTCGTATCCCCAAGGATACAGCAAGTACTGCCCGTAGCTATGATACGTTATGTACGCTGTGAAGTTCGCCGAACTGCTCTTGATGAAATCCTGCATCAATGAAATATACGATTTTTATTATGTTCCAAATTCTTTTGCTATCTTTTCGTGGTATTTATTCTGCAGTTTCTTTAGAAGTACGAAGTTCGTTTTTGTATCAAATTTACAGAAACGAAATAAATGCGTCAAGAATTAGAAATCAAAGTTAACTCCTGAATATTACATCAAATGTTAAATTAAAAAGACAATAGTGACTTATATGAATTGACTTTATTATGGAGTAGAAACATGTCTTCCTCCCGCCTTTCGTATCTATTCTCATTTATTACGCAGTCATTAGCCATCAATCTGTTATGTTCGTTGCCATCAAATGTTCATGCTTAAGTGTTAAGCCGGAAATGTAATCGCTTGTATAAGTAACAATACCGTTGGGGATGTTACAAAGTTACTGATGAATGTTGCATTTAATGTCCGTAAAAAGGCTTGCATATTTTCTCCATAACCCATAAAATAAATTAAGCACAACTTGGTGTAACATAGATAAGAACACTTAAGATAATGGTGTTATGTTAAATGGGTATTACATGTAATGGCCAAAGTTAATCTCTTCTTAAGTATCGTCCAAGTATATGCCGATAACACTTACTAGTAAACAACTTAAAGTACGCAATATCTTATATTATATAGTTAATTACCAGCTTATGTATCACATTTTCTCACTAAACACCTATGTTTAGTATGGATAACTTACTGATAGAGCTTTCGACTCCGGTTCAGAGAAAGCGCTACTGCCGCGATAGATTTCACTGCACGGGTTGCCGGATGAACCTTTGCCTCCCCATCGATATCTATGCATTGAAAATACAGTTGTAGGAAGCGACAAAATATACAAAATACTGCACTAAATATGACATAGATTAGTGTTATATTTTAAGCTTGTTCATTTTGTATTCAAAAGCAATACGTGCCCGAAGTTCCTGTTCAGATCAGTTCCAATACACGTACGACTAGTAGTTCTACTTGGCTTTTTGTTCTTTCTCCACAAACGGTCAGATTGATGAGTATGTTCATAGCCATCAGGATTCACAACGGGCAAGAAGTACCTAAAAAATAAAACGGTTTAAAAGTGGTGCATTATTACAAAATATTTTGTTTATACGATCAGATGAGTAATTTGGATTTACCAATCAATATTTTTGATGTCATCAGTCTCTACGTCGAAGTTTTCTGCGAACTGGTTAATAAAATAAGTTACAGTTGCGGGACTGATCCATTCCCGGGCATGGATTCCTCCGTCTATGAATACGGCCTTATTAGTTGGTTTGCCGTCCGATATCCGCAAAACCTACAATACATTGTACACAAAATTGACATTATTTATCCATGAAAACTTATGGCAAAAACTGGAATATTTTTATTATTTGTCCGTAGAATATAGAAAACAAACCTTCAAATCACGCCCTTCATAAGATTTACCAATACTATTGACGCTGACGATTTTCGGATATGTTTTAGCCAAGTAATCCATAAAGCCGTGAATGTCCTCCACTCGGTGATATTGCTTCCATGTCATACGATGACCTAAGAATACAACCAAATATAACCAATCTTAGTAATTAGGGCCTTAACTTACTTAAGAAGACCACATACATATTTTAAAACGAAAGGCCTACGAATTGCACAAAAATTAGGATGACAAGAAAATTGCAATAAATAGTTGTGCTTATAGTTAGTTACGATGAAGTGATAGACGCATGCGACAATTTTTATTTTCGTCCAAAACACAAGACATAATTAATATAGAAATAAACAATCGTTAGCCCACACGAACATATTTTGGGTATTTTATGACGAACCCCAATTCGCATACGGCCAATACTCCATTGGTAGATCTATAGAATTGTAACCCAAGTAGGCACCTACCAAACTCGGACGACGATATTTTGCCCTGTAACGCCAAAAATTGTAAGCTCTTGCTGCAACAAAATCATTGGATTCTAGCTTACCTTTTTATGCACGTTTGTACAACATGATCATATATCTACGAAGTATTAAAATCTTTTACAAACCTCTACGATTTTGAAGTTCAACTTCATTTGGATCTAGCGGAGGGTTTTCTTCGTTGATTCTCTGTTGCAAGTCCTCGATCACCACTTCAATTGGTATTCTCTCACGTTTAAAAACTCTCGTAACATTATTAACTGCATTAGACTTTACGAGTATGTCAATAGAAGATTGATTCCCACCCCACGTAGAAATTACTGTTAAAGAAAATATTGTTAAGTTATTTGTGTCATTTGAATATATAATATGTATGATTATATGATGATTAGGGGACTAGGACTTACAATTTCGTCTCCTCAAACGATAAATAACGCCCCTAACGTTAGTATTCTGTGTGGAAACTTTCCAAATTTGTGCGCCTGTGTAGTCCACTCTACTTTCAGGTGATGTACTTCTTAGAACAGGCAATGAAGCATCAGTAATAGTTTCTTCAGGTCCTTCGACTTCTTCTAAACGCTCAGCACTAGGATTCGATGGTTCCTTCTCTGATAAAATGAGTATTGTTGTCGTTTCGGGGTCATCATCAAATGGTTGTTTTACAGAATTATTTGCGGGCCATTCTGTAAAGGAAATCAAGCTAAAGCCACACTGTTCGTGGTTCTATGTACGCAGTATTAATTGTGTCCTTCAACACAATTCATTGTTTAGTATTAACATAAGCATTGTTTTTTGCATTCTCTTTGTAAGTTAGTATATGGGTCTGTGCACAACAATTTTAATGATTTAAAATTGTATGATAAGGATCCTAACTTTTATTCTGTGGAAGGCACCAGGAAATGCTTATCAGAAAGCAAATTGTGAATTATATTTAATATAATTTCAGCAAAAACAAGGCTACAGTTATATCTAAGCAATATTTTTGTGTCAAAGATAACGGAAAAGAAATCTCACGGTACGGTAAATTAGAATTCAACGTGTCTCTACTGACACCAATAATTTTATAAAGTGAAGTTAGTATAAAATATTTCAATTGATTTGGCGGATCGTTCAGACGTGTTTTATTTATTACGATGACATGTGTCGCATTTAATGTAGAAAATGCTTTTAGTATGCATTTGCTGTTCCTTGCGTGTCACGTTTAATGACTTTCTCCGGTCCATGCTTGTTTTCCATCGGCGCTTGACCTGATCTCCGTTTGCCTAACGGTATAACATCGCAACCATATATTTTATACTAAAAACACGATATACACATTTTTACGGAAATTCAGTATTGTTTTGTTTTGCTAAATTTAGTAAAATTCGTTATTCGACAACTCGTAGTAGGTTTCTTTTGAAACTCAATATATTCAGTGAAACAGAGGTATAACAAAATTATTGCTAGCCGCTCCTTTCCATGACTATAAACACGAAAAAAGGTTGAAAAAGCTTTTATGAAGCAAATTTTCATTAGTATTGTTTTAATGAAATATCCAAATGACCAAAATATCTCTAAGTGGTAAGTAGTACTTCGAATTTACATGACAAAAGTTAGATATAAACTAGACATTCCAGGTATAACTCTCTCTCTTTCTCTCTCTGCATAGCTTGCACCCCTCAAGATAGTGGGGTCAGCTTTTTAGGCATTAAGTATTTACCGTTATCTGTAAGCATGTTCGGGACGATTAGCTTAGTATAATTTAATGTTGGTATACACGGTCGTTTGCTGTACGGAATTCATAATGATATACACACATTCATTCCGTAACTTTTTATATTGGAGCACATGCATGGAATAAACATTGAAATAGAAAGTAAAAGAAAACAAACTTTTCCTTATAAATTGTAAAAAAAATTCTGCCCAATTATGAAATAGTATTTTCCTTGTGCTATAGTTAAAACTTAATTATAATATTATAAAAATAATTACTTTTCCTTAGAGATAAGGAAAATGTGAGAAATAAAATAAACATTTATATTATAAAAAATTGTGATCTATCGATCTTAAAACCATGATTTATTAGTTCGTAGAAATTATTTTTTGTAACTAATCATTTTTAAAAACCAAATTATGTGTTAAATATTCATTACATTGTGTTGTTTGTTGTAGTTTTTAGTTACTAAAACCACTTTTTATTGATAATATATGTACATCGGATGTGCTAAATAAATAACAATTTTACGTATACGTAGAAGACACCCTAAGTTTTTACTGATTCTAGAGTTCCTGATCTCAGAATTCTATGCATTATATGTCTTCATAATAATCAATTTATATTAAGATTTGTCATCTGGGATTGTACAAATCTAACTTACCTCAGAAATTCTAGCTAACGACGCCCTTATTGAGTTACTAACTGTTACTCGCGACTTGTTCACCGTGGAATTAAAAAAAAATGTTACTCCGGCATAATCAGCTTCCAATAAAATTCCCGTCAAAATCAGTTCAGCCGTTTCGGAGATAAGTAAAGAACAGACGCGATCTTGCTGACAGACAGTTAGACAAAAAAAAATGTTTTTTCCTAAAGAGTATGCGATGTTACGAAATATGTTACGGAATATTTTTATATAGCATGCTTAGATTCTATTAACAGTGTATATAGATGTACATTTTGCTCCACTAGTTAATCTTAAACCTACGGCCTGGGAATAATTAAATTGTAGATTCGCATTGCCATTTACCGAGAGCTAGAACTATGCGATAGTTAAAATAATCTCTTTACGTTTATATTTTTAAAAAACACATATTGCCTGTTAATAAAGAGAATTAAAGATAAAAAATATGTTAGTGCAGGGAAAGCGTACCTTTTCCCGGAGGTAGTTCATTTATGAGAGCTGAGCAGGTAACAGTGACAACCAGCAGCAGCACGACCGTCCGTGACCACGTCTCCATGGCTACTGATGTCGGAGCTGCGGTCAACACGACACAGGTCGCATTGATGCGCCTGCGCAGCCGATGCTCAACTTATAAGCTCTATTCCAATGATACCGCATCGATGTATTACGAGATGACTCATTATTCTTGTTGTATGGGATTTGTTTAGTGTATTTTTTGTGTTAACAGGTAAAACAATTTCGTTACATTTTATGTTACATACTAAAATATGTCTACTTAACCAAATTTTAATCGATTTCCTCCTCCTAAAGTTTAAATAATTCTTAAGACAATTGCTATAGCTTCATATAAATAAGTTTAGGTATATTGGAACACTAGTTCTTTTGTGGGTCTTCGACCGATCTATACAAAAGCTTTTTTCCTCTTTCATACACCATTTAAAACCTATAGGTCGTTACAAAAAAAAATGTGACAGTGTTTCAAATATATTTTAGTTTAAATAACTCGACCCTTTTATACTTAAATCATGTCTATTTAAAACATTATTATCCATAGGTCTGCGAAATACGATCTTCACAGTGCTTTCCTACGTTAAAACAGCAACTGCTTATTATTCACTTATACACAATTGAATTATTAAAAAAGTTTAGGCATACGTAGTCTTCAAAATGAAATAAAATCAACGTTTTTGAAGCAGCAAAAGTAGTTACATTCTAACACTCTTAAATCGGCAATAAGAATGTTAACCATTGCAACTAATAACACGTCATCGTGCTTTTATTTGTTTTGGAACCAGAATGACAACCTTCTTCTTGACGTAGAGGCGCCATGACCGGTCATTGCCTCTCAGTTCCAGTTATATCATAATACGATAAAAGTAAATGTTTCTATAAGAATTTTACAATTAAATAATTTAGTAGTTAGTAGTTCACTTAATGGTCATTTAAATTTGATCATTCTTCTAGTAAATGTAATAGTATTGTTTCAAATATTTATTTTTATTTTATTAACATATCTCAAGTCATTGACCTAAGTATGAAAATGCAAATGAAATTTTTACCAATAAAGAATTTAACGTTTAATTTACTTTGATTTGTTTACGACTATTGGATTAGTTGTATAGTTTATTTCTACTTACTGATTTCTTTGATTAATTTAAGGTAAATGAAAATATAAAAGTGAATAGTAAAGATAACACTGAAAATCGTCGTAAAACAAAAACGAGACCATTTTCAGCTGGATTTATAGATTGTAAGAAAAAGGAAGTTGGTAAAGTGAAGACGGCAAATAATTCCCCGAAACGTTCGTTGTGCAGACATGAAAATTTAATAGAAGAATTAAAAGATACAAATGAACGAGTGAAATCTTTAGAATTATTAAATGTACAACTAACAGAAGACAATAAACTATTCAAAAAAAAATTAGATCAAATTAATAATGAAAAACATATCGCAGAATTAAAATTAAATGAATGTGAAAAATTTATTAATAAGCTATCTAAAGAATATGAAAATAAAAATTCCGAATTAAATTCAATAAGAGATTGTGAATCGCATATTAGAGCTGAATTGCACAAGGAAAGAAATGAAAGGAAAAGTTTAACTTCACAACACGAAAAAGATCTAATAGTTATCAATGATCTACAAAGACAAGTTAAGGAAATGGAAATGATTTTACGTCGAAAACATCCTGACTCTGTTTCTGCTTTGATTGGTGAGTAAAATTCTCTATCAGTCTATTCTCGGCACATATCTGTGAAGAAATTCGAAAATATGTGTAAAAACCAACCCGCATTGGCCAGCCTTTTTGACAATAGCCTAATCACCCCCTAACATGGCGCTGAGCCCTTCGGAGCTTTTGAATAGTATAAAAGTCGTTTTAATAATTACTATTCTTTCAGTGGCATCAAAATCATCGACAGTTGAAGATAATAAGAAGAAATTATTAGAAGAACGAATTGCTCGTTTGGAGCAGGAATTAAAAGATAAAGAAAATCACTTCCAAAGTATACTTGTTACATTACAAGAGAAGTTTAGTGATATGAAGCACAAATACGAGAGTCATATTATTGATGTTGAAAGACAATTAATGGAAGATCGTAAGGTTAATACAGATCTTAAAAATAAAGTCAATAAAACTAATCTAAAGGATTCTTCAGTCCAAACGTTGGCTGTAAGTCGACATACAGTTGGCACTCAGACTTTTTCAAAACCAGATAGAGCGTCGTCTGCAGTTAGTCGAATATCGCAAAACTCCACTTTATTTTTAAACAAATTAAAAGAAGACAGTTATCTCATAGCCACAATAAAAGGTTTGCAAGCTGAGTTGACTGTGAAGCAAAGAACAATCTCCAAAATTAATAGAGAGACAGAAGAATTGAAAAAGAATTTACGAAACTTGCAGAAAGAGAAAGAAGGTTTGTAAAATTCAGTAGCACACTGCATCCATTTAATACACTATTATCAACGATCCTTTTAACCTAATTATAAAATTTTTTCAGTGTTAGCGAATTTACATCCACAAAAGAGGACACCCTGTAAACAAACCAAATCCGTTGAAAATATTCTAGCTAAAGTGACCAATGAATTTGAATCTGAACTTTCTGAAGCTAGAAAACAAAAGGAAGTTCTTGCGCAGGAAAAGTCAAGCTTGCTCGATTCTCTCAAACGAACTAATGAAGAGTTTATATTGTTGAAAAAGAAGCGTATACAAGATGTAAGTGTGATAATAAAATGTTTTTCAGCCAAGAATGATTCCATTTTTCCAAAATAATTTGCAAAAAGAAAGATTATTTTTTGTAAAATAATTGTATTTTCAAGCCATAAAATGATTAGTTTATTTAATGTAGGTACTGTTGCGATTGTTTATGTACATCTTAGTATTTGAGAGAGTATTTAAAATTTTATTCCCATTTCTCTAGTACAGACTAACTTAGAGTAAACTCGAGCCCTTCGATTGAGACGTATATTTCTACGAAAAATTTGATATTTTCTTGCAGCTTCACACTTTACAATTAGCACACGAAAAGGAACTAATGCAGATGAATATGCAGTTATATCCATTGCAAGAAGAGATCAAGTTATTGAACCGGACGGTCGAAATCTTACAAGAACGCGTCAGGGCCGCGGATGAAAAGTTACGATGTAACGGTAAGAGAGATGTAGACGTTAGGGCCGGTGGTGATAATATAATTTCTAATAATAAACGTTGAATTTAATTTTTATTTATTTAGAATATCAAAGTGTATTTCTAGGATAAGCAAAGGAACACTTTTTTTTACAACGACAGAAAATGTTTTTTCATTTTTTTTCTGTTCCAAAATATATTTTTATTTCATGTTTTCTACCGAAACGATGTTTCAGTGTGATTTTAATTTAGCATGTTATGTGATTATTTAAAGCGTTTTCATAATGTATACGTTTTAATTTAGTTTTAAAAATTATAGTAATAATGATATTGCATTATTGTGGCTGATTGGGACCATTGATGATGGCTGATTATAATACAAAAATAAAGTGACCTTTAGACTGTTGTTACAACGCATAAAATTGTAGTCTTAAAATGTGCTTTTAATTGTAAGTTTCCACACAAAATATTTGTACAAAAATATGTTGCTATCTCTATTTTTCCAATAAGAATGATAGTGATGAGAAATAGTTTTTGTACAAGAATTCAGTGAAAATTTACGGTAATGTTTTTAGTGCCTAGTGACATTTACCTCTAGTCAATATTTTCATGAGATTTTTACTCTACAAAATAAGTTATTGTTGCGGTGCCTTAAACGTGTTAAATAAATATAAGTATTAAATAATAATAGCCTTTTATTTATACTAATTTGTTCCAATATTTTTATAAGAACTTTTCAATAATTTAATCGATATTAATTGACCGTAATCAACATTGTTAATGCGATTTCTTTATAAAATATTTCTTTATTCAATAAAACTTCGTACTGACTCGTATTTGGCCTTTTTATGTCACGCGCAAAGTTCAAGAACCTTTCGTAATAAGGTGGAAACATTTCTTCCCTAATTTATTTACATGGCACTTTAAAAACAATTTGTTTTTTTAGTCGTTGCCGTTACGTCATGTTTAAAAAAAATGCATTTTAATTTTCAGTCACAATATAATTTTAATTTAATTTTGTCGTCTGTGAAGATTACAAAATTAAATTAAAAACAATTACGCAATAACTCGTATGTACATTTGTTTTTAATTTTTTCAACCTGATTTTGTCTTTAAGTAGTAACATTTATAAACAAACAACTTCATATTATTGTGGGAAAATTTCCATTCATTAGTTATCTCTAGAAAATGTTAGTCGATAAATGTAAGGTTAGTAGGTGTCTCGCCCGGCCCAATTTCACTGGGCTTACGGTGCTAGCTTTTAAAACATGTTACGGTAAAAGCTTGTTTAACGAGTCACGTATTTACATAGAAATTTAAATTTATAATAAAATTATCATTTTTATGACGCCTAATAATTAACGAGTATGTGCAAGAAGTACTCTACAGATAAGAGGTTTTAGACTGAAATTCAATGCAAGATTGGAGCATTTTTTGTGGTTTTCATCTCTTATGTATTTGGAGGCGCGGCAGTGCCCCCGACGAGGTGAGCACGGCCGAAGCATTCACGTAACTTGCTTCTCATTAAATGATATAATTAAAAAAAAAGTGTTTGTTATTCATAATACCTTAAAATAAGGAAAATTATTTAATATCTTGGCAACCGGTTGTCTGATTCATTCCATTAAAATCTTTGTGAGTCACACTACATCGTAAAAGTTGATTTCTTTTTGTCTGTTTAGTATATTAGTGATTCGAGTCGAAATCCTGCATGTGATAAATTACAGGCCTGATCCACCTAAATAGAATAGCACTATAAGAATTTTTACATAGTTTGGGAAAGTTGCGGTTGTCTTCTATTGAGTGTAAAACCCTATTTATTATTTTTGTTTTAAAAGCAGTAACAAGTTATAGTGTATTTCTACTGCCTTTCCCAATACTTATAAGTCATGGTGTTAATGCTTTATCTTGGTATCGCGTAATAAAATCACAAAAAGCAGATACAGAACTAAAATTGGATTATAAATGGTCGAAATCGTGTTGTCAGTTAAATCATTGGACCGTATAAAGTTTTAGCCTGTTACATTTTTTGTAAGGTACCATTACTATTTAGTTTTAACGATTTTATTGTACATTTAACTGTGAGTAGTTTCTTCTTTTGGGAATTCCTTAGTATAGATTTTATTTGTACACTATGTTGCGTGTCCATCTGTAAAAAACTTCCCACAAAGAAAACCAACAAAATTGCTAGTAAGTCAGGATTAATAAATAAACCTAGGATAGAAATAATAAACTGTAGTCCGTTGTCAGGTATATGTTTATTAACATAGCTATATATACACTTTTATAGTAATTTCAAAATAGAAACATTTTCAATAGTCAATAAACAAAATTAAAAAGAAAAAATTGTGGCATGAAATAATATTAGATGTGATGAACACGGCTAAATCCTGGCATTAAGTTGCCGTTAAGGCTTGTAAAAAAACTTTATACAGCAACTCAATATACATTTATCTTTTCTGTTGCTCATATATAATATATATTTATCACAAGTAATGCATTTAACATAAATAAATTATATGTCAACTCAGTGTCTTGCTTTGTTATTCTTTCAAGTATATTAAAAACAATGTCATAATTCACTATCTGATCACATGGTCCACTGTTGTGCTTTAAACGCAAACTTTAGTTTCATTACGTCTGTCTTATAATCACATCAGACACCATCTATCACGAATCCATAAGTCAATGGACGACACATACATGTCTAGTTAATTTTGTCTTCTAATTAAAGTACATAAGATTTTTATTTAATACACTTCATTATTGGGAAGCATTCACAAACGTGTGACCGGACACTATAGTGTATCACCTCAACAATCATCAATATCACTCACATATAATCATTTATAAATTTTTCCATGCAACAAATCCGTAATTATGCTTAACAAGATTTCGTTTCACAATTTCCACTAGTTCATATTGAGACGACGTGTTCGATAGAACACTGAGGTCCTGGGCTAGTCCGCATCACCATTAGTCACTGTTAACGGCTCCTCTTCCTCATTGTAATCTAAAGATAACACTGAGGCCCGTCTCCTCTTGCCGACGGGCGTGTCACTGCATTCACTGCCCGAGTAAGTCCGTTTGTCCGGGGGCGAGGAAGGCCTGTTGCCGTTCACTGTGGTGTGCGTCGCGCGTAGCTCGCGTTGCAGGAACAACACTGTGCTCTGCATACCTTCCACATCTTCGTCTAACTCTTGTAGGAACTCATCTAATTCTGAAATGGTACAAGTAGTATATTTATATATGACTTAAGTGTAAAAAAAAAATTATGTTTGGAAATTGATGATTTGACTTCTTTAAACAAATAACTGGATGAAGGACAGAAAACAAAAAAACATGCTAGGCAATGACTTAACAATAAAAACTTAATTTTAATACAGAATGCATATTCATAGAATTAATTAATAAAATTAGGTTTTTAAAAATGCATAGCAAAGAGGAAAAATCTCCACAAAAAAGAAACTCTGCTTTTGAAAGCTATCTACTTTAGAAAAAATTTAACAATTAAATTCACATAAAAATGCTATTGTAGAATATACCTGATTGCGATTTCTTTACTTCCTCACTAAAACTTTTCTGTAACGCAAGATCACCTTCAAGTTTAGCTATCCTTCCACTGGACGTCATCCTGCCTAGGTCTTCATTTTCCTGATGCAACAGTCTACATTTAGCCATCAGTTTCTTCCCTGTATTTGAGTCTGGGGTGAACTTCCACGCTGATAGTTCATTTTGCGTCTCTTCTAATCTTGCCTTTGTCGATGTCAGCTCTTGCTTTAATCTTAAAATTAAAACATTTACAGCCGGGTCTAGAAGTGTGGGTCTTCCTTGGAGACTCGCATGTGATGATTTTAATTCATTTATTTGACTCTGGAAATATATAATTTAGATTTTTAATAACAATTACTAAGATTCAATAATTTACCTAAACAAAGAGGCGAGAAACTGATATGTCTTTAACATTGTTATAAAATGGTGTTGCTTAATGTTGTTTCCAACAATATTCCAAATATTAGTTCTTATACAGACAAAATCAAGGTCTACGATAATTAATCTTGTTTTTTTAAGCAGCTTTACAATTTATTATCAAAATGCAGTATGCAAGATATAGAATAACTTACTACATAATCTTGAATTTCTTGTTCCTTAGCAGCTAATCGCCTAACAAGTACCTTCTCTCTGTGTTGTGATTCCGCATACTGTTGTTTATTCCTATCTTCTATCTCTTTCGCTTTTTCCAAACTTCCTGCACAAATTAATACACTGCATTAAATTAATAAAAATTGGATATTTGTTTTTTTAATGAATACCCGATAAAGTTATTGTTTGAATATCAATTTAACTATGATTTTAATAACAATATTTTTTTACAAAGTTAGTTTCGATAACAGCCTGTAGATAATTTTTTGTTAATTGTACTTGTCAAAAGTTTCTTATAAAATCTTACATACATGTTTACCTCTAGTACATAACATATTTAAATAAATAGCTTATACCAAAATCGACAACACCTTAACTAAATACATTTTCTTAAAAAGTACAATTAAAAACTACAATCATATTTATTATCAATATCACTGGTCTTTTTGGTCAGTTTTTATACAACTTCTGACGAGGTCTTTTTAAAAATATGAATTATATTCCAAACAAATGGAAATTCTTCTTTATGTCTTTTTGCAAGTACATTTTACTTCATTATAAATATTTTGAAACAAAATTGTCTAGCTAAAGTTTAATTACCTTTATAGTAAATGTTCAGTATTTGACTTGCCTAGCAAGTTTACTTGAATATTAAAATCAATGTGGCATTGAACTAATATTGAACAAGTTTAGAATTTGCACATATTCTTACATCTAAAATTTATGTTAAAGATGGCAATCTCTCTCTAAATATTGTTTAGTTGAGATTGAATTTTATTCATCCAACAGCTTATTAAAGGGTAAAGTCAAAATTGAGGTTTTTATTAGATTAGTATTTTTACATTTTAAAATATTTAAGTGAAGTTTCTTCACCTGTTTATGATTTGTTCAAAATTAATTATATTTTTAAAAGTAATAAATTACATTGAGTTAAACATATTTTACAATATCTTTACACTTTACTCATAATTTCCACAACAAAACAATATTTCTTCTATTACAAGTGTTTACAAAGTTTACTTCTTCTTTCAAAATTAATTGTAATTAATTACTTTGTTGAAGCTTTAGCTAATATGATGTAGCAATTTGTGACTTTAATTTTAATATTTTACATTAATGTTTACAAAAATATTTCCCATTGAAGGTTTAAATTATTTAGTCTGAATATAAAATGTTATATGTAAGTTAATGAGTAACTTGTTCTGCACAGAGAGGATTTATAATTTTATTAATATTCAAAATTCAAGCAACAAATGTGCTAATCATACCCTCAATTATTAAATAAAATTTTCCAGTAAAAATAAATATTTAAACAAACATCATCGTATAAAAATAATTTTCTATCTATTTATGGCAATTTTGTTGGGATAAATATTGTGGATTAAATGTATATTGTGAAAAAAATACATAATTTTTTCTTTTCAAACCATTTGATGCCGACCCATATTCTTTATCACCAGACAATATTCTTTGCTGTATATTTTTAAATCATAAGATGTCATTCACAGACATATGAAACAGACTATCATTATATTTGTTTAGTTATACCTGTGCTGTGGATTCCACAGTATCTATGAATAAAAGAAAATACCACCCAGAATATATAATACAAGAAATTATTATACTAAAATAGTCCAATTTATTAAATAATGACATATTACTAGATTAAGCATATAATTAGTGTAGTAATATGAATAAAGTGTAATTAAAAATACTAGTTATATCTGTTTCTCTTTTACCATAATTATTAGTTTCCATATAAAACACCTGTACACCTTTGTGTCACTTGTATTAAATCATATTGTTATCTGCATCTTTATATGTGTCCAATACAAATGTCACAGCATCGAAACCCACTATTTGAAAATACAGATACAGTCCAACTTGGATAAGCAAGGCAAAGGTACTGTGTTATATTCCTCAGTTAGAGGTTTCTTACTCAGAGTGGACTTTGTTTTTTTTTTCTGATAAAGTAATTCTATACTTGATCCACATCCATGAAGATGGAATGGAAATTCAATAAATATGGAAATATTGATACATTTCTACCATATAAATGGTAAATTAACTCATTATTTTTTATCAATTATAATTTATATTTATTTCTAACCTACAAATATATGTTTTTGATAGTCATGTGCATCCAATCCAACACTTCCCTCACATTATACATTTTTTTTTCAAAAAAACAGTGATTTATAGATATCATAGTTTTGTAAACTGACAAATACTGTAATTTAATGACATCGCAAATTATAAATAATTATCCATCACCTCTATGTAAGTACATTTTTTCTACATAAGCATTATTTATCTACAACATAGGTTATAAATAATATACATTTTGTTAGTAGCAGTACTGATAAAAATAAAGCTTATAAACATATACACATTGATCCATGCAATGACACATTAAACATAGTAAAATTTTAACCATGTACTAGATTTACAAATCTTCTTTATAAATAAAACATGTTCAATATTCAAGAATGATGAGATTTGATGATTGATACTATGAGCCATATAATGCACATTCAAAAATAATATGTCGCAAAAAGCAGAATAATTATTTAAATAAAATAAATGTAAATTTTTTCTTTGCAACATATTCACTCATAACATAAGACCAATTAAAATAATACAGTAATGATACATTCTTAGCAAACACAAAGTTGAACCTTACAATTATAAATAAAGAAAAACATATTTACTTTCTCATGCTGGTAACTAGGAGTGTTATGTGTTTTACTCCAGACCGATGATAAGATTACTCCGAAAGCACTGTTGTCACAGCTCCATGTTAACCTGGAGTACACACTTGAGCCCTTGCCGCAAAGATACATTGCACTTCCACTGATCACTCCACTTGATAAGCTCTGACACAGCATTACACCTTCTATCGTCAATTTACACCTAAGTACACCCCGAATCACATATCTTTTTTTGATAAAACTAACAATTCAACATCACAGTAACAATTCAAACATATTGTAACAGTATCACTAGATATTTTAGTTAAAGTATTGTCGATATAAGTAACTAAAAGAGTTTGCACAGATGAGGTCGCGTGTCGAACAGACGCCGACCACGACGCTACCAAGCCGATGTAACTTTGTCGTAAATACCTTCCAGCTGTTTGTTCAACGTTTCGAGATGCTCTATGTACAAGTCCTGGTTTCTCCACGCCGTGCGAAGTGACTCAACGCTACTAGTATCCAACTGATGTGAGGTCAACACCACTCGCGACGGACTCGTGACGCCATCGCTCGCGCTCGCCGTCTCACCATGCCGATCTGTCTCCTCGGACATTGCACTCTTACAATTACGTTAAGATGATTCTCAACTGTAATGAAATAAATGCCATTAATTCCGTTACCGATATACAACAAGCATTAGCATTTTATCCGTTATCAGAAACCTGTAATGACGCAAATAAACCTGACACAACCAAAGAAGTATACTCACGAGTATTACGTGTATATTAATATTATGACTATTTAACATTAAATAAAATTTTAAGAGTAAATAAATAACTTTCAACTGAAACTCTATCTCGTATTTAATAAAGAAATCAAGCAACTCCTACACTTTCGACGCCATTTCATCACGTAGCACTTGTAAGTGTTGCCAGACAGCTGACATTGCCACCTTGTCTTCAAAGAGCATGCCATGTTGATACTCAATGTTTATTACCGATGTTGGTAATATTACGTACCTATAAATTTTTTGTATTTTTTTTAAAATGTTTATCTCTATTCTCTCAATAAATATAAACGACGTTCTTTTTAATATTTTAAATAATAATGCACCAACTTATTCTCATTTACATCACAGGTAAAAATCAATACATTTTCAATGTCTTCAAAAATGTATTTACATGAACATAAAAAAGAGTTAATCGATAGTTAAATTTAAAATCGACAAGGATATAGTCGGACAAGAATCTTGTAGAAGTCGGAAAAATGTCAATTGACAATGTCACTATCACAAAGTCATATTTTGACCAATGATGAAGCAGCAGCAGTTTAATGTTGCCATTTTCATAATTTTTGAAATCCCATAAAAATATCACGCACAAGTAGGTTAATTCCCTTATTTATGTGTTTGGCTGTATCAATTAGTAAGAAATTACTATAAGAACTCTGGTCATAAGTTGACTTTCGGAAGTTAGGAAGTTATTGCTCACTGGTAGCTCTTAAAACGTAAAGCTCCCACCAATGTCAAACCCCAGAACTGGTGTGAGATGTGCTGCTATCGCCGTTGGTTCTGTCAGAATATTTACGAAATCTACTTAGACATAGAAAATGGCTTAAAAGAAAAAAATGATATGACAGCTACAGTATAAAGAGAATTATGTGACATTTTTTGACGTTGACAGTGAGCTGTGCGATAGTGAGTTTTCATAATTTAGTTTGACTTATGCCCACTGGTTTAGCTTTGTCTCTGTGGTTTTTGGTCTATACTGTATCTGTCTTATTACTTTATGCCTGTGCCTAAGTAGGTTTTACACGTTATATGACATGACTAACTAGGAACTAATTGCGATAGCGACGCCTCTTTCACCGGGCCAGATATTGGTGTTTCAATTGCCACTTATTTCAGGGTAACTGAGGTAACTAAAATAAAACGAAAAGTCATTTGTAATTTTCTATTAGATTTACTTATATCTAATTAATTAATACTTAACATCAAATTAATGTTTAACATTAATCGATTCCATAACTAGCAATATTATATTTTAAATCTATCATTGATTGCAATTGGAATAATTATATCACAATATTTACAATGGAATGTTTACGTTGATAACACTTATGTTAAACTGTCAATAAGGCCGCCACACTTCTTGATTGGAGGCACCGTAGAGTCCATGTTTTACATCATCCGACGCTTCACAAGTTTGCACAAGTCCGCTCGTTTCTCCCGCACCTTGCAACTCCGTCGTTATAGAGATCCCGCCATCTATGTCACTAATTTTTATTTCGCTAGGCATGTACTGTTCGATGTTATGTTTATCGGTAGAGCTGTGTAAATGCACATGTATTTGATTTTGATTGACAGTTGAATATAGATTAGGTAGCATCACTTGTGGGCTTGGACTGATATACGGTGTATGAGACTGTAGGCACGTTGGATTATTGTTGATGTTATTGTATTGGTAATTGTTGTAATTGTAGGTATTGGTTGGCCAAGAATTGTAATAGTTTGGTTCGCATCGGGGCTGTGTGGACATTGGTGCCGCCGTGTGGTTGGTCAGGGGTGGCTGGTTGAGGTCCGCTATCGACGGACCGGGTAAACTCGGGCTCTTGTAGCTCGTACTCCCAGTCTGGAAGCCGCCGTAGTCCGTATGGCAGAGTGGCATTTCAGGTAATACTGAAAACATAAAAACTAAATTAATTACGGTAGTTAGTGAAAAAAGGTAGAATTCAAATGATTCAACTAATTTTATTATCATTTTTATACAGTTAAATTTTTGCCTTTAACATAAATATTAGATGGCGCTCAAAGTAGCGAATGGCATGCTATTTGGAACTTGTTTACAAGTCCTTTTGACTTCTTATTTGTACTAAACACAAATTATCTTATTGTACACAAATTCAGAAGTATTAGGTTACCTGCAGGTATAGGAATCGATGGATCCGACTTATAGTAAGGAGGTTGCAAAGGTACGCTGCCGTAAGTTGGATAAAGACTGGCTGTAGAGGGGTAGCCAGTGTTCCACTCGCTCGCACCGAGAATGTTACCGCTGCCTTCTGGAAATTAAAAAATATGTCGTTTTAAGATCTTGCAGAAAGTACTACCAATTTAGTTTAGCCTATGACAGTGACTATGGTTTTATATTTGACTCCAGACAAAGCAAAACAGTTAGGCTAAGATTTATCGTTATGCAAAAGTGCGCCATCGGTAATGTTGTCTGGACACAAAAAAAATGACTTTAGATTTACTAGATTAATTAAGTAATAATTGTGTATATGGTGTCTAATCAAAACCGTGTTTCTTTGATTCAACATATTAGGTCCTAAATCGGCCATTGTCAATGACGGGTTTTGAAATGAAGGTCACGTGCGCGGAACTAGCATCGCTCACGTTTCGGGATTGCCGACTGATTCACGCCTTAACGCTCGCCATACAACAAAAGTGGGGTCAAGTATACAACAGAAATTATGCATACAATAGTTGTTTTAAAATTATTCAATGTGTTATGGGTTCGATGTGCTTAACAGTTTTTAATATTATCCACGAAGGACACAGTGATCTACAATGGATCGACAATTTGGTCAAGGTTACCAAATAATTAATTTAAGCCAAGTTTGTGTTGATTTATTACGACAAATATACCTAAATAAATGCTGAAGTAACAATTAAACGACTCTGCGTGTCAGTTAATGCGTTAATTCACTGTCGTTAACTTAAATAGGTAATTAATTTGGCAAATAATTTAACAAATATGCGCACGGAATTCTACCTACCTGCGTCGCTTAACGGAATATGTTACAAATTCCAACATGTGACAAATTCTATGTAACAACATGATTTTTTTATGCAACACATTTTACTTAATACATTAGAAATCATGTATTTATTTTTTTAGTTGCATTAAAATTTTTGTTTATTTCGCAATAATTCAATTGCTAACGAAAATTCACAGAATTAAGCATTTTCCTGTTGAACAATTCACTGATAAACATACGAAAATACACAAAAGCAACTTCAATTTATTCCTTTTGCATTTTTACATAAAATTATATTTGTCACTCAGTAAAAAAAAAGAAGGGTAATGTGCGGCTGGACTTTTACGATTTTTGCTTACACTCATATGAATAAATAAATAAATTTATAATTTATAATTTTGTGTTTAAAGACATTACATGATAAAATTTTTAAAAGACGTTTGCCGCAAACATTATATTTGTAGTTTCTTTTCACTTGACAAAGTATTTAACTAATAAATTTCTACACTACTTTAGAAATTTTTCGCAATAAAATTATAGAGACGAAACTTTCTCAGTTTAATCAAAATAAGTTATTTTTGTCTAATAAAGGAGAAAGTTTTACAGTTCAAGGCATAAAAAATAAATTCAAAAACAATTCAAAATTATATACCAGATTATTTGAACTATTACTTCTTACTAATATTATAAATACGTATGTTTATATGGATGTAGGAGTGTTTCTTTGAAAATATCTCCAGAACGGGTGAACGGATCTTAATGAAATTTGGCATAGATGTAGAACATAGTCTGGAAGAACAGATAGGATATTTATTAGTTTTTTTTTCGCAACGAACGGAGTCGGCAGGACAGCTATTACTTGAATAAAAAGCTATTAGACTGGTGTTATATTCGTTTTATAAATATATCCATAAACTTATTGATATATCATAACAATGTATAAACTTTTAGACTTCATTTGAAATAAATCTTCGTGAATAATAATTTCACAAGAAGTGTAAGTATTTGAATGCGTAAATGCACAATAAATTAACAATGAAATGAGTCAACAAGACTCAATCATTGGTGACGTTTCAAGCCCTAGAGTTCGCAATGGATACGTGCCACACCTCGCGTGCCCCTCAAATATACATACAAAGCTTACAACTTACAACTGACCGAATTAACATAATCATTTTTGTTTTATACACGTTAACTCAGTACAACTGCATATAAAGGGAATAATAGCTTCTATTACAAAAGCAATAAGGATGAGAATAACTAGAAGTCTGGGGATCACTGTTTAATATTTTTATTGTAATATAGTAAATCCTAGTAACGTATAGTAATTAAATGGCGTGCTCAATTTGTTGCGATAGCTTGATTCAATGACATACACAATGAATCATAGTAAACATTATTTTTTTCCTTACATTATATTAAAGTTGACTGGCTGTCTGTATATTGACCCGATAAATAACATAATGAAGTTATTATATTTATTTTACGTTGATTTTCAAATGTTTAATTACTCACTAATAAGATAGATAACTAATAACGTTAGACAGATTCTTTTTTTACACCAAAAAGAAAGAGGTTATCAATTCAAATTTTCAATTTGGTTGTTGCCTGAAATGTTTAAGACGACCCAGTTGACATTAAATCAATTGGCGTTTTTTTTTTAAATT